TAACTATTAACGAGTATTTAATCATGGATTTTTTTTTTATTTTTTTTTTTTATTATTTTTTCTAATAATCAAGTATGTATCTATGCTTGTATATTAATTTCGTTTATTTTCTTCGAAATCTCATCAAAGTTGAAAATAATTTAAATGCAAATATATGCGAAACGTAAATCCTGTAATTTATTAATTTTTTGCTAAACAGACGTTTTATTTGTTCTTGTAGCATTCTCTATKCAAAATCACAATTAACTGTCATTAATAATTACATACCGTTTTTAACTGACTACAGCAGCTATATTTAAAATACGAAAACAACAAAAAAAGAAAATCGTTAACGAAGCTATAATATCCCCTACACAAATAAAAAAGTTTTTATACAAAGACTTGATATAGATCACTTTGAATGGCAGCTATATGCTATCGATCTGAATCATTTGTGCGGAGATTATAGCCATGTATGGTTGATAAACCATGCCAAATTTTATGAAGATATCTTCACAGATAGAAGAGTTTTTCATACAAGAAACGAAGTTTTATCAGTCAGTTGTATGACACCTATATGCTGTAGTAGTCTGATCTGAACAATTTCTTCCGAGCTTGCAGCAATGCCTTAATTAATAATATCTGCCAAATTTCTGAAAGATATCTTTTCAAATGAAGATGTTTTCCATATAAGCACTTTATTTAGATCGTTCAATTTGTAGGACAGCTATATGCCAAAGTAGTCAGATATCGACGATACCGAAAAATGAAGAGCTGCTTGAAAAGAAAAGCAACTATGCAAAATTTCAGAGCGATATYTCAAAAACTGAGGGACTAGTTCCTGTATATATATACATACAGATCGACTAGGTTATGATCCTAAATCAGCTCACCTCGTCACGCGTATTTATATATACTATACATTTTGTATAGGTCTCTCAAGTTTCCTACTGAGTATTACAAACTTCTTGGCAAACTTAAATATAACCTGTATAACAAAAAAATAATTATGAAGTCCGCGAACACCCGCAAGCAAGCGTAAACCAGATAATGAGCAACATTTATCGAATGTTTATTATAGAAAAAAAATAAATAAAAGTATAAAAAAATAAAAATAATTACTGATAAATGTTGATCTTCATTCGAGTTGGCAGACCGTTCGCTTCCGTCTACCGACAGGCAAGCTAAGGCAGTTRAGTGATAGACTCGCATGTGCACAAAATATATTGGGGTTCATTTACTAAAAAAACGAGATATAACAAAGAATTCGAGCTTGCCAATACAATTACTTTAATATACAGTAACTCTTCTTCTTTTGGGGATTTAAATTTTAAGAAAAACAATTTTTTTTTTGTTTTTTATTTTATTTAATTTTTTTTTCCATTTGCTAACAGCTTACGCAAATTTTATTTATTATCGTTCGACAATATTTCTAGGATGATGAATCGAGAAAATAACTGGTATTAATCAAATAGAATGACATGAATACAGAGCTCAACTATGTATAAGGCGSGAAACATTGGCGAATCTAATACGACTTTCTCCACATTTCTCCTAATTGTTGGCAACAAAATCTACAGTTTTCATTATTAGATTATTATTAAGAATTACTTTGCTAATAAACCTATACTCGTAATCAAAATAGGAAGTTAAAAATTCCTAAAATAAACGACCCAGTCTAATTTAAATTACTGCTATGTAATTACGAATGTTTGTAAACACATGTACTCTGTGGTATAATCATAGACAAATATGCAAAATGTGATCGTTAATTATTATCAACGATAACGTACATCCTCCAGCAGTCACTTTAATTTCTCAATGATTATTAAGTGGACAGCATTACAAATAGAATATTGGCAGGGCCTATTCGCTTAGAAGTCGTTATTTTCAACCGTAAAAGCCATAATGTCAAGCAAAAATAGGAAGTCAGCAAGTCAGCAAAAACGAAGATCATAGATAAAATGAAAAAAATACAAAAAAAAAAAAACACAACAGTATTTATGACTGAATTTGTTGTCGCCATTTTCTAATTTTTAATTTTTTTTTTTTTTGTATTTTTTCGTTTGCTTTGCCTTGTCTTTCTTCGATATTTAAATTTCCTTAAGCGCCCGCTTTGCTAACTTATTACTATAATCAGTTAGTTCTAATGAATTTTAATGAAATTGAAAGTAAAACAAAAAACAAAAMAAAAATTTTAAGCTAAAAAATATTTGTTCCCAGCGGTATATTTTTGTTTGTGTATGCTTATATAATAACTTCGATTGTTTGCATATTTAAATCGGAGATTAATTATATGTTAACCGCAGACTCTTAGGTTTGCTTAAATGAGGAGTTTTTTTATTTAAATATGATTTTAAGGTTTCGGAAGATTTTTTTGATTTTCTTTACTTTCTTTCTTGATAGTATCTTATATTAACCCTTCAAAGCGTATAAGCATGTTTTCGATATTTTTGGAAAATGAAACTTGAAGACTTTTGTATATACACATACATATTTATATGTAAACGTACGTATGTTATATATCTTAAATTCTCTCAGAAACTTTGCAATGTTCCAAAATAATTTTTTCCTACTATTAGATTAAAATTACTGTATAAAAGACTATTCATAGCAAAGAATTTCAATTTTTGGAGCTTTTGCCATCTGATCAAATTTGAACCGGACCGGGCCTGTATTAAAATACATGAAAAATGGTGGTCAAATAGTATATTGAAGCCTTATTTATAAAAGCTTTGTGCTCTTAGCTTACTTCATCATGCTCYAATCGTTGGATTCCTTAAAGGACATTGTCCAATAGGCATTCAGGCTCAAAGCTCTTTATCGATTTATGTAAGTTTTTGTGATAAATTTTTATAGGAGTTTTATGCAGAACAACGGACTGTGGTTATAAGCTGTCCAAGTGAGATTCCTTTCGTCCATTTAACCTAAACTAACCTAACCAAACGAATGGTGCGACTTCTTCAATCTACTGCTGGAGAAAATAATTCGAGCTGCAGAACTGATTCGAGAAGGTACAATCTTTTATAAGAGTGCACAGCTGCCAGWGTACGCAGGCKATATTGATATCATTGGCCTCAACATCCGCGCCATTAGTTTTACTTTTCCCAGACTAGATAAGGAAGCAAATCAAATGGTTTTGTAGTGAACGAGGCCAAGACGAAATATTTCCTGTCATCAAACAAACYGTCGTAACACTCGCGACTTGGCTCCAACRTGATAASTTCGAAGTAGTAGATAATTCCGGTTCCTTACCGAAAAAAGGAGTCTTGGTTAAGTTAACCAGAACTTAACTGACAGTTGGCTACTAATCAGGCATTGAGAAAGCCCTGACAGTCAGTAGCGGGTTAATATAAGGCATGCCAAAAATATAATATAATATGTTGCTGATATTACATATATAAACACATATATTTGTATGTATAATACGCAGCTAAGTATATGTACTGTCTCTTATACACATCTAGATGTGTATAAGAGACAGGGTTAATATAAGGCATGCCAAAAATATAATATAATATGTTGCTGATATTACATATATAAACACATATATTTGTATGTATAATACGCAGCTAAGTATATGTATGTATGCGTTGACTAAAGTACGTTCGCTTGATTGACATTGTCCATGAACTTGATTTTCAGCGGACGTTTACCATAAGCTTTCACAAATAWGCACGATTATGCATATATTTAGACACAGCCCCTTTTTGTAAAAARTCACCGGCCGAGCTGCTTTGCCAAGCTAAGCTGCGCTAAGCGCTGCGCATTGGCGACAAGTGTCGCGTGCTCTCTGAGACATTCGAATGCGGTTTGGGGCGCTTCAGTCCAAATAATCACACTTGGCATATATGTAATACATGCATACACCAGAATGTATGTATGTACRTATACATAKGTATATATAAATTGTGTGCTTTTATATAAATTCTTGTATGTAAATCAAGCTCACGTTGGCATTTGAGCAGWAATTGCTGGAATTTCAATGTTGACATTAACTTTTTAAGCCGACAAAATAACACTGAAACCGATAAACATATTTTCGTTTAAAAAAAGAACAATTTCATCAAATTTTAATCTTATTTTGCCTTTTCGTATTGTTTTTTTTTTTTTTTTTGTTTTTGTTATTTCACGTTTTTATATGTCGCTCTGCAGCAAGTTTTCCAAACGCTGCTTGGCGCTTCGCTACCGAACTTATACACATATACATACATACATGCATATTCATATAAATGTGTATGTGTGTGTTAAGCTGAATTACGTCACAGTTTAAATATAAATTTGATTAGCGACGAATTATAATTGTGCTGCTGAACACAGMGTCTCCCAAATCGCTCAGCGCACTAAACGAACGACGAGTTTTGTTGTTATTTTGTCGGATTTTTCATTTCAGCTTTATATAAGTTTTTTATTTGTCTGCTAGACCGCCAATTTTGTAATGTTGCTTGCCTTAAATTCATTTTACATGTCTAAGTATTTAAGTATTTAGATGTAAACAACCTTGTGTTCGCTTTTCCAGCACATTTATATACATATATATACTAAATATATACATATGTATATATGTACATATATTCTCTTACAATTGAAAGTAATGTGGGTATATTCCTCGTTTTTCTTTAAATGTGTCAAAGCATAGTTTTTGTAGTAAAATCGAAAATAGCCCATCGATTCAGCTTATCAGCTGGTCTACTTTTTTGTAACAGTATCAAAGTAGATTAAAACTATAAATCAATGTGCACTCTCAATTAGCAGATGCGATTACTGGMGCTATTACTCGATTCTAAATACTAAAGCAATGTGAATAATACTGAGGTAGTGCAAGTTTGTATAGCCTGCACAGGGTATATTAAGTCTAGATATATATGTGAACTAGTCCAATAGTTTTTGAGATACACTCCGATATTTTGCACATATACTTTCTACTATACTATTCAAGGAGTTSCTCATTTGTCGGCATGGACAATATCGCACCACTTTAGCATAAAGCTGTCATATAAATTGCACAATCGGAATCAAGTCCTTGTAGAGAAAACTCTCTATTTGATGGGATATCTTCCCGACATTTAACACAAATTATTTTTTACTATAACGCTACAATATCAGACAAAAAATTTYACATCGAAGCATTATAGCATATAGCTGTCATACAAATTGCATAATCGGAATCAAGACCTTRTAGGGAAAACTTTTTTATTTGACGAGATATCATTCCGAAACTTAATTTAAATTTATTGGTCCTCAGTGACTATTTCCAGTTCTCAGATCTCAAAATAATGCTCGCTGGAAAGAAATTTTCGGCGAATGTAGACGTGACCACCGAAACTGAAGCCTATTATGAAGCAAATGAYAAATCGTACTACGAAAATGGTATCGAAAGGTTTGAGGGTCGCTGTAATTAGTGTATTAAAGAAACTGGTAAGTATGTTGAGCAATAAAACAAATTTTACCAAAAAAAAAAAACATAGACGTAGAAGGTTTTCAATTAACTTCTGATATACATATATTTCTTTTATTTATTTAACAAAAAAATTTTTATATTGATATTCATAGGAAATGCTAAGTGTTATTTATTCAGAAAAATGAGGAATGTAATACATAAAACTCTATGCATTGGAATTAACAAACAGTTTAGTAAATTGCCTTAAAGRTATTTAATTTTTAATTTTATTTTATCTACAAAAATATTACAACAGCTGAAAAAAGAAATTTTGAACGATCGAGAATACATGTGTGAGTATATACATACAAAAGTACATATAAAGCTATGTGTGTGGTTCTCGAACCTAAGCCTTCCTGCCTCACCTGTTTGCTGTTACGCTCGACTTCCCAAATGAACTTTTATTACCCAACGTACTATTGCCACGGTAAGTAAAAAGTGCTAAGCGCATTAGCGAACGCAATAAGTGAATACAAAAAAACACAAAAAAGCAATTCATGAATCTTAAAGACCTCATATTATTGTGCACTTGCATGATAAAGCAGTCACTGCATTAATTAATGTCTTACTTCATTTCTTTTTAATTGTACTATTATTCTTAAGTCCATGGCCTTTCAGCTAGCCTTCTGAATAGCTAGCTTACAGAAATACAACTAACGGAAAAGTTGTAAGTTTTCTTATAACTGTTTCTGGGTTTTATTTTCATTACCCACAGGTGTCATATCAGATACCTTTACTTTGTTACTTTGAGTTCATAGAATATGAAAGATCTATAGATAATTTACTTTCAGAACTAATGAAATGACTTTATCATCATGTTCTAGGAGTACCTAGAAGAATAAGTAAATATTTATATATATTTAGCCTTATGTAATTGTACGCATATGTTCGGCATCCTTCTCGGTGGCTAATGGCTTTTTGGCAAGTACCGACTACATGATCCCACCTTTTCATTGGGAAAGAAGCTTCAGCGAAACATAGGAAAATATGGTTATCGTGACGACCTGTTTACTGTAAGCAAGACCTTAAATATTTGCGCAGATGCCTCAAGTATTAAGGAATTAGGCATAAGGCAGCATTTTAAATTGCCGGACCCCAGCAGTATATTTCTAGCAAAGGTCTTTGCTGTTGAGAAAGGCGCGTAGCTTGCCTCTAATGCATCTGCAGTTAATGTCAGAGTCAATATCTACGTAGACAGCCAACAGCAAGCAAGGCAGTAACCTTAATTCGCATATCGGCCAGAATTCTTATGGAAAGCATGGCAGAAATGGAGAATGTCGCCAGAGCCAAGGGAATTTCAATCAGATCTGCTAAGTCACGAAAGCCCTGTCTATACAATGTTCTGGGCAGAAGGTGGGATGGAGCAATCTATCTGGGTGCAAAACTGCAAAAGTTGTTAAATTTCATTCGACTATCTCATCAACAACGTGAAAAATTTTGATGATCCCTAAATACAAAACTTCGCCTTAAAAGCACTGACTTGAAGACGATTTTAGAGACAGTGTCTCTTGAGCAAAATTGTTCAGAATGATGCCTATAATATTTGCCCTGCATTGCAACCCGCTCTAATATGTACTTCTCTTTGCCAAAATGTATCTGTTAACATTCTACCTTCCTCCTTCAACACTTAACCCTTAAACTTATCGACTTATTTATTAATAGACACTTACCTGGATGGCATTCTTTGTATCTTCCAAATGACGTCGCGACCTAACTACTGGGTCGACATTGCGGAATTTATCTTCCAAACGGCTAATTGCCTTCTCCCAGCTATGCAAGTGATTCTCAAATTCGTCCCAACGTTCAGCAATGCTCTGCAATGAATCGCGCCGAGTCTCGAGTCCCTTCAACAAATCGKTCCACAAACGATTCAATTCTGCGTTATCCTGTTCAATCAGCTGACGATTGCGTGCGTCGGCCTGACGTATAAGTCCTTGCGCCTGCTGATTGGCGAGTGTGATGTCACTAGCTTGGCTCTGTGGTTGTAGTTGCGTTGTTTAGTAGTGAGTGTGTGTGTGGGTGGGAAAAGAAAAAGTAGAAGAAAAATTATAAATTACACAGATGTTTTCATGAGCACATGACGTTGTACGTATGTATAATCTTAATAATTATGGAAAACAATATGTTTTTAATCAAAATAATTATTGCAAAAAAAAATTATGAATGCTGCAAATGGAAAATTATTGCTCATGTCTAAATATAAAAAGTTTTTTTTTTTACATTTTTAAAATTATTTATAAATGTTGAAATATTGATTTATATTTAAAAAAAATTGTTTCCAAAACATTTTTTCACACATTTTAAATATTTCAAATAAAAATTTTTATAAGGTATTGATTTTTAATTTAAAACGTTTTTAGACATCTTAAATTTTCTATTAAAATTTTTACGCAAGATGTTGATTGCTCATTTCAAAAAGCAGTTTTCAAAACTTTTTTTCGCATATTTACTTTAAGTTTCAAAATTTGCTTTCAATACATTTTTTGGTCATTTAAAATTTTTTATTCAATTGTTTTTCGCAAAATATTGGTTTATTATAAATTATTATAAAAGTTATTTTCAAAACTCTTTTTTTACACATTTTAAATTTTAAATTTAAAAAAATGTTCGCATAATATCGATTTCTAATTTCAAAAATTTGCTTTCAATTCGTTTTTTAAATATTTTAAATTTTCTATTAAAATTTTTTCACAAAATATTGATTTCTAAATTTTGTTCAAAACTTTTTTTTACACACGTTAAATTTTCTACGAAAATTAATATATTATCAACAATGATAATATATTAATTTTGCATTTGTAGAAAATTTCGAAAAAATTTTATTTTTGGCTGAACACGTTGGCACTTGAACCTCCAAACAGGAAAGCGCTTGGAGCTAGTGTGCGGTGTGTGCGCACAAAAATGCACTTCGGTTCGTTTCGTTAGTGCGTGCCACGTACAAATTACACAATGAACACATTTTCGCCGAGGCATTTCTGCATATTCGTAGGCGGAAAATATACCTATGTCCACCAAACTGGAAATCGTACAAGCTGTGTGGAAATTGTCAGCAAATTTTCGGTCAAAACTGAACGGAAATACTAACAATGGCGGCGCCRGCTCACCTGAAAAGTAATTTGAATGCTTCGAAAACTGTAATTGATTTTTTAACACTCCAACGCGTTGCACTTGGCAGTCTGCAACACAATGTGCAGTTAGTGTTTTTTTTTTAAACAATTCGTTTGAAATTTCGGAAATCACTGCACACGTTTCACCGTTACACAGTTAATACTCGTATATTACACGTACTTTGAGCTGTGCGCTTCCTCAACTGCACATATAAAATTGTGTGTATATATATACTTTTTGTAGGTATGTGCGTGTATCTATGCGGGCCAGCGCGGCGACAGCTTGCGGCACTAACGACGTGTTTTCACAAATGTTTTTTTTTCTTTTMTTTTACAAATAAATATTTATATTTCACTGTTGTTGCATGTTTTATATATTTTTCTATAGTTTACAGCTTTTTTCAATGAAAAATGTTATGCTGCTTTAATTCCAGCTTTGACTTGAAGCACTTTTTCACTTCGTCAATATGCGTGTGTGWGTGTTCTTTTGTTTTTGCTATTTTATACGATTTCTTGTACTCTTTTTCCTTTCCGTTCTGTGATGACGACACAGAATTACACTTTAATTTTTTAAGAATTCGAAATTCACGCTCGTTACCGACGAAGTCTCAACTGGAAATGATTTCATGTGCCGCTCATAAAATCGCTAAAACTCGCAACGACAAGCTCATAATGTCCGTAAATAAGTGAGTATCTGTGTGTGCGCGCAATTCGGTGTTTGCGAAAGAGCGCCTCGTTTTGAGCTACAGCTTACACTTACATATTACAGAAGCACATAGATATAAAAATAMATATATGAGTATGTGTATGTGTGCGCATACTGACCACAAAGCAGTTATTAAAAAAGTTATAAAAGTCGTTGAGGTGGGCGGCATACATATGTGATGATGCATGCCTTCGACATTTCCAGAGCGCAGAGCGTACAAGAGCGCARGCTTACAAAYCGCGCAGAGCGCACTGAGACCGTGGCTAACAATGTTGGCAAACAAAARCAAAGAATTGTGTATTAAAATTAGCAAAAAACGGCACASAAAAGCCGGCACTCGCTGTCGGACTAGGTGAAAGAGTGAATAAGTGGAAGAGAATGAAAATGTAAAACAAAGCACGAAAACACGTTATCGGCAAGTGAAAAGTGAACGAGGCCTATGAAATCAGTTAAAGTTTTTAGTTAAAAGTGGCATACGATTGGATATATGAAGAAAAAGTTTAGGAATAAGCGCAAACATATTTGATTTATGGAAGAGTTAACTTTAACTATGGATTCCAATGAGTACATTTCTATGGCCATGTGGACCGTAGGTTCCAATGCTATTCTATTCTGGCAATAATCATCCTCCGACAGACAAGGTCGAACATACGCATGTACATCTTAAGCGATGGCGATTTTCACAAAGATCTGCAACCATTTGCAGAAGACTCTAAACTTTTATGTGTATTTTTCTTTTTCTTTTTTGTTTTGAAGGTAAAATACAAGAGTATACCAAAACTAAAAGAAAAAAGAATAGAATTTTATCGAAACCGAATACGTGAATAGGAGTAGCTTATAAAGAAATGAATTGAGTAGAGCATTTCCATGATAAATCCTGAAACAATAGTAGAATCCTAACATCGCAAGTCTACTAAGAACTAGTTCAATATACTCGTATGGCACAATCGATACAGTTGGACAACCTCTTTCGTTCGTACCCGAGTCATGTGACGATAATGGTTTGGGTTTATCGCAGATCGTTCCGTAGTTATAGACACGACCCAAGGTCTGCAGCCAATTGAGTAAAGCTTGAAATTTTTATTGTYATTTTTAAGAGAAAAATCAAAGAGYACACCCTAAATAGGAGAGTAAAATTTTTTGATCACACGTGCTTTTCGTACCTGGCTCATGTGGATTTATCACAGATCGTTCCAACGCTATGGATACAACCGAAGGTCTACAGTCGCCTGAATAGGGCTTAGCAAGTACCCGGATCATAAAGTGATAGTGCTCATTTTAATTTATCACAGATCTCGTCGCCGTTGTAGACAAGACCGAAACTAGTCTTTCGCAGATTTCCAAAAATATTGGTAATAAGAATAAAGAATCCAGGGATGGACCAATAATAGAACTTTCTTACCAAAAGCATACAGATTAAAGTATAAYCCCAGAATCAACACTAGATTTTCCTACTTGTTATTATTTACACTGCTAGTCCCATCTTTGGAATTAATAACCTCTATTTTGCCTTGTCATTGAACACTGATGCCAGCCACCTTGATCAGTTAACGATTATCGATAAAAGTCAAATCACCAAAGAAAAGGTGCAATTAAACCTAAAGAAAGTATGCAACGCACAGGAAAAGAGAAAATCCGCCGAATTGACGGATTAAAACCAGCAACCTTTCCACTGAAATGGTAAAAGTTAATACCTAAGTAGAGAAGACGACTTAAGGCAAAGTCAGAATTGTTGTAGCAAAAGAGATTAATTGTCGACGGGAAAAGCTTTCAACATCGCATTAACCTTTTTCCTTATACGAACCAAGAACTGGCTTAATTAACAAGCATGCATGCGCTTAAACCGCCAGACTACACATTAGGAACCACAAAGACCGAAGTGAAACTCACAAAATTTCGATAACGAACAAAAAATAATGCCGGCATGTGCAGTTTTACTCAACACACACACGCAGTATAATATACTAGGCCACCAAAAACCCCGGTGACTTTGACGCATGTAGTCGGTGGGAAATGATATGCGGCAAAGGGCAACCTCTAAGTGCAACCAAGTGAGAAGTGGAAACAAAAACAAAAAAGATGAAAATTAAAGCTGAAAAGCGAAACGAGAAATGAAATGCAGAGAAACAGCTGACCCATGGGGCGAAACATAATGCAACAATAAGCCGACGCGCTTCAGTCGGCCAGTTAACCATTCGTCGTTATGTGTTAACAATTCGCCATTAAATTCCAGCATACTGTGAAGCGAGAGCGAGAGAGCGAACTCCAATGCYGCACGAGTATTGAGTCGGCATTTGCACAATGTGTGGAGCGCTTTTGAATCCGCGTGGTGCTGCCAAATTTATACTTGATAGCCGGCCAACGCGACTCTACAGTGTAGACTCTCCACGCAAGTGGCAAGGTATGCTCAGTTAAGGAATCGGTATTCTTACGCGAGCATACATTCGCTCTATACTGAAGAGCCATTGTGTTTGCTCGGCGCCTGTTGATGGTTATAATGATGATGATGTCATTTGGCGTACGAGTTTCACATTCAAATGCCCGCACATGGTTTATCGCAGTATCTGTGTATGGGCGAGTAGGCATGGCTTTTGTACTCTGCTATAATAGTTAACATGTGCTGCCTCACTACGCGCTCTTGGTTGTTGGCGCTTTTTATTCTGAACACAGATGCTGGTCGCAATCTTCATTCGAACGCTGCCAAACAACCGAGCGTGACAAGGCAATTAACGAAACCGAGTTTCACTCTCTTAACACTTTCGTCTGTACGTTTTTACAGCGTGTTTTTTTATCCTGACCTGTCCAGTTGGGTGTGGTGCGTACTGCTGGCTCAGTACCACAAAAGGCATAAATGGTGAATGCAACAAAATGTGCCGAACAAGTTTCCTTACAACTTTTGCCGGCCGGCAGTCAATTCGTACCGAATAAAAATAAACGAAAAGTGAAAAACGCAAACAGGAATGAAGAAGCTAGACGAAAAATATGCCGAATCTGAAATGTTCACACTAGTACAGTGGGCTGAAGTCGATGAAATTTCATTTAATTACAAAAATAATTAAAATTAGTTTTCAAAATTATAATAAATTGAAAATAATTTTTGAATYATTACAAAAAAATAAAAAATTAATTATATTAACTAAAAATACAATAAAATAAAAACAGAATCAAAAAAATTCAAAAACAAATAAGGTATGACTATTTGCCAGCATCAAATCCGGAGAAATAACTGAAGGTGCTTAAGGTTTGCAAGTTATATGAAGCTTAGGGCAAGTATATATACCCTATTTTTTTCTCTTTTAGGCACAAAAAATTCACCGCCATTACAAAACCCTCAATTCTACTAAGCTAACTTTCATATATCGGTCAATTTTAGTAGTTTTAACGGGCGGTGAGCAATGTCAAAAGCTYCATCAGGATCGGGAATGACCTCTCCGAGCCGTTCGATACTAAACGAGGTTTCAGACAAGGCGAATACCTATCGTCCGACTTCTTCAATCGACTGGTGGAGAAAATAATTCCAGCTGAAGAGCTAAATCGTGAAGGTATAATCTTCTATAAAAGTCTACAGCTTATCAAACAAACAGTCGTCGCACTCTTGACTTGTCWCCCACGTGACTATTGACAGTCATAACTACGAAGTTGTAGATAAMAGATGCTATTTTGGACTGAGTAGGCAATTGAAATGTAAAGCCCTCTTTTRACGAACAAAGACCAAACTCCATACACCCCCGTCCTTCTATATGATGCAGATGCATGGACGATTACAAAATCAGATGAGTCGACGTTACGAGTTTTCGAGAAAAAGGTTCTGCGGAAGATTTATGGTTCTTTGCGCATTGGCAACGGCGAGTATCGCATTCGATGGAACGAATCTGAGAGATTCGACGCAGGACCTGCAGGAGGAAGTAGAGAAAAACCTCCACTCCATTGAAATGTCCAGGTGGAGAAGGACCTGGCTACATTTGAAACCTCCAATTGGCGTCAAATAGCGAAAGGGAAAAATGACTGGTGCGCAACGCAAACAAAGAAGAAGTAGTTTTGTGGGGAGTGGGCGCGGTAATAATAAGATTTCACCCATTTTCACAGTGTTGAAAAAATTGCCCTGAGCGAACTGAACGGTTATTAGAGCTGAGCGGTTTATGTATTATGACCATTAAACTTATTATTAGAGGACTGAACCACGCCCACTTTCTAAAATAATTTCAATCATAGCTCGCCAATGAAATTCTTTGTATTAAATAGCAGCTTTGCAGCTTGTTGTGGAGATTACTTTCAGCAAGACGTTTCAATTTTTACTAAGTTATCGCTTGCACAGACGGACAGATGAACGGACGGACAAACAGACAGATTCCAGGATTTCAACTTTTCTCRTCRTTTCAACTTAACTCGATTATTTTTAGGTTATGCAAACAACCGTTAGGCGAACAAACTCAACTCTGGAACAGCATGTTACAGGAGTATAATAATAACCTGAGTCAAAATTAAACCAAATAAACTAAAAAAATAAAAAATACTGCTAATTGCAATTAACTTTCTTCAAACCGTATTTTAGTTAACCAGGCWTTCAGTTAAACCATTATATAAATTTACACTCACCTGCACATTGCCGATGGCGTGCGTCAATTTCTGTATGTTGAAATGCAGGCCAGCCAAATTCTGTACGGGTTCATCGCTGAACTTGCTGCGTTCGATGGTTGCTTTGACGCGCTCCACCGATTGCTGATATTCACGCCAACGCTCGACCTCTTTCTCCAATTCGCCTTGCTGCGATTTGGCCGTTGCAATGGTGTTGGCCAATTTAGTTTGATGTTGTGCCAATTCGCGTGACAATTCCGACTGTTCGAAGCTGCTCAGCGAGGGCCAAATCTTATCGGCGGCTTCTTGGATTTGTTTATGCACCAAATTCTTAATTGGCGTCTCATTGCCGAAGAAGATCTTATGTTCTTCCAAGTCTTGTACGAGATTTTCATAGTCGATACCATGTTGACTATTTTGTARGCGTGTCTCAGCTTCGTGCACCCAATCATTGAATTTGGCCACCAATTTCATGTAYTCAAGACGTGAATCGCGATTGTTGATCAAGTACTTCTCGCGATCTTCAAGCTCTTGTGGCAGTGAGGAGACTAATGAACGACCTTCGGAAAGCATTTCAACCAGTGAGCCAGGCATGCCGACCTCGGTCTTAACGCTAGCATYGATTTTGTCGAATTTATCGAGATATCCTTGGATTTCGTTGCGTAATTTGTGGTGTTTTTGAATTTCATGTTCTACAGATTCAGGATCACGATCCAATAGGGGTCGTGACTTGGCAGACGCTTCATTATTATGCAACCAGTCAAGAATTTCTGAGAGTTCGGCAGCCATTTTGCGATGGTGTTCGAGTTGTACTTGATGTTTTTGTCGTTGTGACTCGACTGCCTTGCGTAGGTTCTGTAGTTGATTCTTAAGTGATTGCAACTGTTCAGTAATGCTGTTCTTGTCAGCGGCAGAACCCTCCGATGCGATCTTCTGACCCTTATCGGTAGCAGAGGCCAGCAGACCCTCACATTCTTGTATCTTGACAATAACATCGTCGTACTTGTTGATTTTGTCCTCCAAGCTGTCAGGTGAATTCTCAATATCGATTATAACATCAGTGTATTTCATGATGAAAGCGATAATCTCATTGATCAGCGCAATGAATTGCTCGCGTAGCAACAACAATTGACGCAGATGAGCCAGTTGATCCTCAATCAATTTAATCATGTCATCCTGTTGCTGTAATATACTCTGYAACTCGGGTAGATCATCCATTTGAATGTCACCCATTTTGTTCTTGCTATCTTTGAGTTCCTTCAGTATACCCTCGTACGCGCCCAGCAAATCTTGTACATCTTCGATCTTTGAGCCGATTGGTTTATTGAGTTCACGCAAGCGTTGCTGTATGGTGTTGAGGAACTGCATGCAGTCAGCCAATTTACCCTTGGCATCCTTGTATTTCTTGATATGATCGGAGAGCGTGTTTACGCGATCCTTAATGTTCTGTGTCACTTTACCGTAACGGTCCTTCAAATTTTTGATATCGTCGTTCAGTTTCAACTTATCAGGATTGCTTAGCGTGGGCAAAATACCTTTGCCTTGGTCGGCCACATTGTTCATTAAGTCAGCCTTGCTTTCGGCATCCTCTAGCAATTTCTTGTAGTGAGCTATTTGTTCTTCCAAAACTGGTACACTGGTTGTACGCAATTCACCAGCTGTGGCGGTTTCCATCTCATTCAACCAATCGCTCATATTCTTCATAGCATCCTCGAATGATTTACGTCCCTGCAAGAGATCGCTTAAAGCTTTAGCACGCTTGCCACTCTCATCCTTTAGGGTTTGATAATCGCCGRCTATTTCATCGAGTATTTTCTGCAAAGCTGCTCTATCTGCCTCCGGACAGTCCTTCATTATATTCGCCGCTTGTCGTTGTACATCGCTCAACACCGAATCATTGAATTGTTTCGCTTCATCATCGTACTTCTTATTCTCTTGTATTTTCTTCTCGATTTCGGACGATGGCAATGGATGATACACAGGCAATTTACGTACTTCGGCAATCTTCGATTTCAACCAAGCGCGTGCCTTCTCCAAATCAACTTCYAGCGCTTTACGYGCCTTAGACGCATCCAGTGCACGATCTAATTCGCTCTTGAGCACCTCGGAAAGATTCTTTTGCTCGGAATTCAATTGCCGYAACGCCGACTCGAGTTGTGCATATTCGACGGGCTCAAGTTCGGGTTGCATATTAGCGATACGTTTCTCCAAAGCGTCAGCTTGTGACTTCTTCGCTTCGGCTTCCTTCATAATGCCCTTAATAGCTTGTTGACGTGCCTCAGCTGCTTTTGGTTCATAACCCATTGCAGTAGGTGTTTGCAGCTCTTGTATCTTGTCCTTAACCCAGTTATGTAACTGTTCGATTTCACCCTTAGCGCCATCAACGCCCTTATTGGTAACGTCAAGTAGCTGWGACTTACGATCGATGCGTTTGCCGAGATCCGCATAACGGCGATCCAATGATTTCATCTGTTCTTCAACCTGTTGCCCATCCAAATTGCTAATAGCSTCTGCAACTTGTGCTGCTTTGCCCTTCAGCTCTTGGATTTTTTTCGGACCTTSTTCTTCAAACTCTTTCTTGATTTCATTGATGGCAGCCTTTTTCTGTGCACAATTCAAACCGGAACCTTTATCCAATACATCCATACGTTTGATAAGCGAATCAAACCAGTTTTGTACATCCTGTACACCTTGACGATAGCTATCGATATCATTCTGACCAGCTTGTTTCTTAGCAATAGCGTTCATTAACTCGGACTCGAGTTTGTCGAGGTTGTCGTCGAGATCAGTGTCATCATCGGCTACTGCAAGTAAAAGTATGAAAAACATTAGATCAAGAAAGGACAGAAAGTATCGAACACTTTAAAAGGTGAAACGTTAGAATATTATTAAGAGCGATATAAAAGGTGCTGGTTCTGAAACAGGTGACATTTTAGAAATTCGTTAGGGTTTATCACGAAACCGGTATAATATCCTGTATTAAGTATCCCATGAARTTAGCAATACCCAAAAGGAAACTTCGGAGACCCTAAAAAACATATATAGTATGAAAATTTAAATGATTAGCGTTCAAAGCTGACGTGATTTAGTCATATCCGTTTATCTCTCGGTAGTCACACGAACTAGTGCTTCACTTTTTGCGATTTCTCTTTGAAAATTTGCACATAATTTTTTTTTTCTCTAAAGAGCTGCTCATTTGTCGGAATCATCGATATCGGGCCACTATAGCATATAGCTACCATGAAAACTGAACGTTCGGAACCAAATACATGTATGGACAACTTTTTCATTTCACGAGATATCTTCWTGAAATTTGGTATGGCTTGTTTTCTTGGTCARTTCTCCGTAGAAATTGTTCAGATTGGACCCCTATAGCATATAGCATACTGAACAATCGGAAGCGACTTTTTCTAAAAGAAAAAACGCTCCATGCTTTGGCGTGGGTTATTCTCCAAAGCAAAGCTTTGCCATCATTCAAACTGAACGATCACAGTCAAGCTCTTTTATGGAATATTTTTAAGGATATTTTAGCTTCGGTGCTGCCGAAGATAACGTCTTTGTTTTTTCTTCGTTTATATGCGAGATTAATGCGTACTCTGATACTTACATGATCCTGTCATCTCCAACATAAGTTGTGAACGCTTATCGCCAATCGAATTCAACAAGTCATTCATGGCCACCAACTCTTGTTTAGCTGCTTCCGGACGCAACTTGCATGGCCGCGTTAACCAATCACTAACAGTTGTTTCCTGTTTCTTAATCCAATCTTGGAGCTCGGCGCGTTGTTTCTGCTGTTGCTCTAATTCACTCACTGAAGCGGTCAATCCACCCAAGTGGGATTGCACCTAAGCGAAGGAGTTAAATAAAATTGATTTGTAAGTATAATAATGGCAATAACAGCAGGCATTATGAACCCAACCCTATCCAACCTAGTACCGCGTATGAAAAAATTTTGCCCGGAGCAACCTTATCAGAAATTTTTTATGTACAGTGTGTGTGTGTTATAGCAAAATGGTGACAAAATTTTGTTTTGTTGGCCAAATAGGTACATGAAGCAAGTTAAACAAGAAAATTAGTATGAAGCTAAGTAGTAGGAGCAAGGCATTTCCTACAAAGCTGGCTGGAAAAGCAGCTCAAGCGGCGGCGAACTTACCTTAGTGATTAAAGCATTAAGCTTGGTTACACGCTCGCTATTGGAGCGCACTGGATCAAGCGGAGCATCTTTGGTCTGTGGTAACTCAAGTGCGACATCAGCTTTTGCGGCGATGTTGCTTGAGTACTCTGCGCGGTTACTCGGCATCTTTACGGAAGTTAATTAGTTCGGATTTTCAAACGGGTTTGGCGGAAGTTGTGGTTAAGCGGGCGGATAGGAATTTTTTGTATTGTTTATTTTGGTTGATAAATGGCAGTGTGCATTATTGTTGTGTAAGTGCAGCGGTTTACAAAAATCAGGAAAATTAATGCAAAAATAAAATACATAGGTTATAAGGAATGCTAAATTACACAAATAAATTATTAGTAAAATAAAAAAGTATTTTAAAAAAGATGTATTCCGTAGCAGGTGATACCACAAGGGTTTGTATACTTCTTTTTTTCTTTTGCACAAAAATGCGGCATAAATTTGCCGTTTAAGGTTTACATAGCTTTACTACATTCAGTTTTGAGTAACAAGTTTCCCCATATAATGTTTGTCTAACACTTACTTGATCCAATAAATCTTCCAGCTTGGCGCGCACAATGAGCTCACGCTCGGGTATGGTTTGCATGGCAGACTCCAGCGGAGAGCTGGGACGGCTGATGGAGGCGGTGGCGGCTTCACAAGCTTGCACAGCGGCGGCAAGGCGGGACTTTTCGTTGTTCAGTTTGGTTTGCAGATCCTGTGAGACAAATCAGGAATAACAATAAGAAAAATGTAGAAAAATATATTTTTGAAAATCGTAGACCAGCACTAAACAAAACTTAAAACAAAACTTAAAACAAACAAAATTTGAGTCAAGCTCTGCATAGCACTCACCTGTGCACACTTCAATTGCTGTTGCGCCAGCTGCAAACTGGTGGCGGGTGCATCCAGCTCGTTTTGTATGACCGGTTCGTAAGCCTCCAAATTGCGCATTATGCTATCCAGTGTGTCCTCGTATTCCTTGAATTTAGCCAAGGACTCGTGTAAACGATTCCTGATCTGCACCGAGGTTTGCAACAATGAATTGTAGCTGTCCTGTATATTCTGAAGCTGTGACTCGACAGTGTCGCGTATGGCTGGTGTTGTCGGCTCGTAACGCTTGATTTGTGCTTGTCCCTTTGAATTCAAATCGTCCAAATTGGATTGATACTTTTGAATTTCATCCAATAAAGCTTCATGTTGCTTGATTTGTTCTTCGGTTTGCTCGCGATTCGAAATAAACAACGAATTGTGCGCCATCAGTTGGAAGGAAATTTGCAACAGCCATTTCTCGATATCCTGCAAGCTCTGATGATAGGCATTGTAGTCGGCCATTTCGTTCTCCAAACCCTTAATGTAGGCAGCGCAATCGTTCTTCACTTTCTCCCAACGTGTTTGCTTTTGGTGTACAGAATCTACTTCGGTACCTAAGCCCTTGGCTTCGCCCAATAGATTCTCAATATCAATGCCCTTCTGTTTGATTTCGTTTTGTAATGTCTTGTAGCGTTCGAGCAGTGTCTTCATTTCGCTCAGTTCACCCTTAGTGTCGGGCACAGATTTCAGTGTGTTCTCAGTACTGACGAGCCATTTCTCGAGTTTGTCGCGATTGTTGGCAAAGTCGGACCAGCGGTTCTGTGCTTGCTTCAAGTCACTCAGCTTCTGCTTGACGGCGAGTCCCAATGCGTCCCAATCTTCACGTACTTTAGTCATCAACTCACGCAGGACCTCTTGTTTGCCTTCAGGTGTTATGTTCGACGCCTTCGTGTACGCCTCTTGTACCATACCAAGCAGATGTTGACCCTCAGGTAGACGTGATGCTAAGGACTGTAAAGGGAGTAGAGGTTAAAGTACAGTTCAATTTGAGGTAATATATTATAGTATATGACATCAACGTTGTCAACGTAGGTTAATAATTTCTTAAGGGGAGCTTTATATAATAGTTATTGAATATAGGAGACTACAATATCTGTAGCCGCAGGAAAATCAAAAAGTGAGAAGGGAAGGCATTTAATTTTCTTAACAAAATCATATACTGAAATCAAAAGGTGTTCATAGAAACTTCTGAGGCTACATAGGGTTGAAGTGGTATGCGAAGACAATCCACTCTGAATTCGGGGAATAATTACAAGCCAGAGGAGATTGTCTGATACTGTCTCTGTTGTGGTTGCTTACAATAAAGCTTTCTATGAAATTAAACCTATTTTATTACATTCTGATCTCCCACAAGCTGTGGTTCAAGACAGTTAGCTGTAGTGAAAATCCGAAAGTCAAAAACATGGATTTTTGACTCTCTATAATTTACCGACACGACTATTTTCAAAATTGTTCAACCAAATATATGAAGGATTTCTCAAATCTATATAAACTTACGTTGACTGTCTCCAGTTGTTGTGCTATCTCGCTAACATCACCATCTACAGTGCAGCCATCAAGTATTTCTTGCGCCTTCTCAATCCAAGCATCCATTTCCTTCTTATAATTCAAGAACTCGGTGTGATCCGAGAGATTCTTTTCGATCTTGGAAACGAGACCTGAAAAAGTTATATCAAATAATTAGTAAGCTCTGTAGACCATTGGTCTCGGATCAAGCATCCACCTTGCGCCAGTGTCAATAGTTTGGTGTAGTTAGACTGAGTTTCTACAGTTTGATCACGAACTCGGGTACATGCACTGTGTTCCATGAGCAATTCACAGGCATCGTTCAGGTCTTCGACATTATCCTTCTCCGCCACAACTTCCTCCAATAATTTCTGTTCAGAAATTCAAAAATTTAGTTAAGTCAAGGTAGATACTATCTTTTTTTTTATAATTTCGATTAAAAGTTCTTACGCGAATTTAGTGATTACAAAAAAAAATTTGTTTTTAAGATCTGAAAAGCATTATGTTTTGTACACTGTGTTTTGTGCATGAGCCGTATATTTCTATGGTTATATGTATGTGAATGTAGGGTGACTGCTCGCAATAAGCTTAGTTGATTAGTGAGTTACCATAGGTGCAGAGCTTACGTGAATGGTTAATACATAGGGATAGTGTTAGTGGAGACATATGAATGAACTTACCTTGGCATATGCCAAGTCGTCGGGTGTTTTATTTTCAGCTTCGCCAGCGGTAGCCACACGTCGGCTAACATCTTCAATCCACTTGTTAATCTTAATGAAATTCTGCAAGAATGCATTCCACAAACCGAGACAGGTCTCCAAATTGGAGCGTGCATCACGCACCATTGCCTGCAGTGCCTCCCATTCGGCTACTAATTGTTTGATTTCTTGCGAAACGGTGTCTTGACCTTCATTACCACTTGTGGCAATCACTGCTTGACTCAATTCTTCACAGGCATCCAGCAGTGATTTACCCTCGACCATGCTAGCGCCAATATCACCCAATTTATTGAGACGCTCTTCTACTTGTGTCTTCTCACCATGACAGTCGGCGCACTGTTCGATCTCAATACGTGTGCGACGCAGCCAATCTTGTATTTCATTGAAGGCTTGCTTGTATTTGTCATGGTTATTGACTTGATTTTCGAGCGACTCGATGATTTTGCCAACGGTTTCTTGTAGGTTCTCATATTTGCTGAGACCATCGCGGAAGTCTTTACGGTCAAGACTGTTATCTTCGTTCAAGCGTGTGTTAATCTTCTCAACAATATCGTTGTGACCGTTTATGTCACGTTGTATGGCACGGAACTTCTCCAATGCGGCACGCTTTTCACTTAAATCGTTCAAGAACTCGTCGCTCGTCTTGACGCTCGGTTCGACATCTTCAAGCCATTCCGTAAGCAGCTTGAGAAGTTTGTAAACTTCCTCCAATTGTGACAGACGATTGGCCAGTCTCTGACGCACGTCATTCATGTCGACAAGCAACTTATCGAAGTCTTGTTTCAGTGTTTCAGTGTCCTCTTGCACTTTAGTAGCGCCACTCTGTTCGGTGTTCATGATTACCTTCTCTTTCAGTTCGAGTAGATAACGTAGCTTATTCTGACCCGACTCAAAGCCTTGACGCAGATTTTTAACAGTGTTGAGTTTGATTTGTACCTCGTTGAGTGTGCCAGGTATCTGTGTACACTCTTCAAGTTTCTCGCGTGTGGCCTCAATCCAAGATTGACATTCCTCATACAAGGTGCGATGCTGTTGGTGCTCTTGGTAGTGCAATTCCAAACGTCGCATTACTTCTTTGGCCAGTGCAAGTAAAGCATTGTATTTGGTTGTCAATTGCATGATGGCATTGCTGATACGTGTGTCCGAGCAGGTCTCCAGCAGCATTTGTGCCTTCATATTTAGGTGATCTAAAGTTTTCTGCCAATCGAAAAGTGTTTGCAAGTGACCTTGGAACTCTTCCAACACTGTCTTTTTACTTGCCAAACTGTCTTGCAGTTTGTTGTAGGATTGCACCAACGCTTCGGTTTTGGTAAGCCATTCCAATGCTTCGCTGTATTGATCTTGGTAATCTGACCACTTGACAATACCTACTTCCAAATAATCCTTGGCTTTTGTGAGTGCATCTACGTAAGTATCGAATTCTTCTTGCAACAAACCGACTTCTTCTTCAATGATCTCGCGATCTTCTTGTTCAGCATTGAGAGAAGCGCGTTCACCTTGCGTTACTACAGCTTCCAGTTTCGTTTTACCTTCCGGCACTTCACTTTGTAGAATCTTCAGTTGATGTGTTTTCTCAGCCAGCGCTTGTTTATCACCAGTAGGTTCTGAGCACTTGCTTAAACGCTCTTTAGCACTACGCAACCATGCAGCGAATTCGTTACCCGCATCAATGAGCGCCTGGAATTCGTCGATTGTGGTCTTTTGCTTTTCATAAAGATCCTTAGCCTGTTTGGTGAGTGTCTCATATTTGTTTGAGATTTCTGAGGCAGGCGCGCCCTGTTGTAGGTCGGATGCCTTCGAAGCCACCGATTGTATCATTGGTTCGAAGGACACTATATCTTGCACAATATTATTAGTTTGTCGTAAGTTCGCTTTACGTTCACTCAAACCGGATGTGAGACCAGGTTGGCCACGTTTCGACTTCACAACCTTCTGGTCGCAAACCTGTTGCAACTTACTCTCACGATCCGTAATCCATTGCTGTAATTGTGAGTAGCTCGAACTATAGTCGGCCCATTGGAGTAGGTTGGTTTCCAATTGTACCTTGGCGGTAGACATTTTCTTAACCAATCTATCCCAATCATTCTGCAAATCTCTCATTTCACTGTTAATCGTATCACGGCCATCGGAACGGGTGTTTCTGACTACCTTTTCGCCGTTGTTGATCGCGGTGTGTACCAGATTCTGTCCAATTTCACGATTGCTAATCAACTGCTGAATCTTTTCCAGCCTTTTCTGCAAAAGCTCCTTCGAGCCTGCGCTAGAGGATTCACTAGCCTCACGTATAGCAGCCTTGGCGTCATTTATCCAGTCTTGCGCAGCCTTCAAGTTCGCGTTATATTCACGATGTTGATCGCGGTTGGTCTCAACCTTCTTCAACACATCCTTAGCAAGATTGACCTGAACTTGATACATTGAGTTTAAGTGTCTTAGCTGGTTGTTGACGTAGGACTCCAAATGAGATTTTAGTAATCCCGCTGAAGAGGCGTTAAATTTATCTATATCTTCTTTGCCCTTCTCCAAACGAGCCAAAACTTCAGCCATATCAGCAGCTTGTTTCTCTTTCTCTGGCAAACTTGGTGCTAAATTCAACTTGTGATTCTTTACGAGAATATCGATTTGTTGGAGCCATTCAATTAAGCGCTCATACTCATCCTTGTAGGCGCGCCATTGCACCATAGTGACCTCCAAACTCTCCTTTTGTTGATTGATCTCACGGAAGAGTGACTCGAAACTGTCGCGCAAAGCGCGTATGTCATTGCGAATGATTTCTTGACCCTGTGGCGATGTGCTAGTCAATACGACCTCGCCAGTATGAACCAAATGTTCGACCAATAGTTCACCTTGTGCCTGCTTGTTTAACATAGCTTCAGTGGCTTGTACGGCATTCTCAATGGCCAATTTGTCACTGAGACTGCTCTGCTTCAGAGCAGGGAACTTCTCACGTGCACGACTAATCCAGCTAACCAAATCGTCATAAGCTTCCTTGTAAAGACGATGATCTCTATATTGATCATGACGATCGGAGAGCAATTTCTGTATGCGAGCATATAATTCGTCAAAGTTGTCCAATACCTTTTGCGCTTGGAACGCGGCTTGGCTTTGTTGTCCGCTAGCAATCATCTCCTTGGCCTGTACTTTCAGTGCATCAACGTCGATTTTCTCTACGCGCACCTTCTCTTCGTTGGCTTTGATGCGGTCAAGTTGCGCACGCTTCTCAGGCATTGTAGTTTGATTTTCGGAGAGCTCTTTTAATACATTTTCAAGCCATTCATTGAATTTGCGTACATTTTGTACCTGTTCCAAGAATCCTGACCATTGAGTTATGGAGTCATCCAAGGTCGCTTTTACATCGATGATACGTAATGTAATATTGGACCACAATTCTTGTAGATCTGTCAGCTTCTTGTTGATCGCTTCGTGACCAGTCGGTGCAGTATTGGCAAGCACATTTTGTGCCAACTCAACAATACTAAGTACCTTCACAGAACCTTCATCCTTCAATAATAAAATATCCTGTATGGTTGCCAACTTCTTATCCAACTCTTTTTGACTCATAGATGACATATCAGCGCAGTAATCCAATTTGTCTTTGATACCATTAATCCATGTGGCGCATTCAGAGACGGCGTTGTCGAATTCCTGATGTGAGGTCACATACTGTTGCCAACGGTTATTCAATTCTTTAACTTTGAGGAATATCTGCTGATACTTGGTTGTTAATTCAGGTCCAGATGAGCGCATGCTGGAGGCACCTTTTAGTAATAGCTGACCCTTCTCGGAAACGCTATCGATTTCCAGCTCCTTAGCACGCATTTCACCTTGCAAGTTCTTTAATGCTTCCAACTGAGTCTTCTTTTCATCGAGCGTTGGCTTGAGATCAATAGCATGTAACTTGTTGTCCGATTCTCTAATCCAAGCCAAGCACTGATCACGTAATTGTTCATATTCCGCCCACTGTTGTAAGCGATTTTCAATAGCTTCAATGGTTGATGTAATAGCTGCGATTAGACCTTCCCACTCCTGTTGTGTGGTATCGATTTGCGACTTTATGTTTGTCTGTCCACTCTCGACAGTGCCAGGTATAACCTTCTCACCAAGAGCACGCACTTGATCGACACGTGGAAACTCATCCGCCAAGCTATCTTTGAGGTTTTTCAGACGATCCAAGTTTGTATGTAGGGAAACTTGTTCCAAATCCAAATCACCCCAATAGTCAATCGTGTTATGTGTGGCCTCAATGTACTCCTGTGCTTCCATAACGGCCTTAGTGTATTGTTGATGATCACTCACAATGGCTTCATAGCGTTCCACAAAGTTCTGAGCACGCTTATGTATTTTAGCGAATTGTTCGGCAATTTCTTTGGTAATATTATCAACATGGTCATTTTGTTCTGGCAAGTTGCTTGCGATTTCTTGCAAATTTTTCACTTCAACTTGGTGATTATTGAGATCATTGAGGATGTCACGGTATGTTTGCAATTTGGCGCGTTTCTCATCCAAAGTGGTTTTCAATTCGATATCGGCTGGTAGTGTTTTCTCGATTTCATTTAGCCAGTTTTGCAATTTCTCGGCGATTTCATCAAAACCAGACCATTTAGACATCTTGTCCTGTATCTTACGCGAAGTAATTGTTACATTGTCATAGAGCTTATCGAAAGCATCTTGCAGCTCAGCCAATTGCACGCGTATGGCCTCACGACCTTCTGTGGCCGTGGATGGATAGCACTTCTCACCCGCTTCAATGGTGCTGTTCAACATCAACGAAGCATTCGGTTGTTGCGCCAACAGTTCTTGAATTGCAGTCTGTTTCTTCAAGAGATCGTCACGAGAGCCCACCTGCGATAGATCACTGGAGTCGTCGTATTTCGCTTGAGCGTTAGCTAAGAAATCTGAACACTGCTTGTATTTCTCATTGAATTGTTGATGATCAAACACAGATTGTTCACATTTCTTTAAAATCTCCTTTGTTGTCGCTTGTATGGACTGGAAGCGTGAGGTAACTTGTTGCACATTGACGGCAATTCTAGTTTCGCCTGAACTTTGAATGAGCTCCGAAGAATCATCCTTCATTTTCTCAAATTCAATTTCATTTTGACGCAAGTTTTGCATTAGTGATTGGAAGCGGTTCAGTTGTTCTTCTTTCTCTTCCATTGTGGACTTGGGATTATAATTCTTGAGCGCATTCTCAGCTTCACTCAACCAATTGATCAAACGATCTAAGTTCACTTCATAATCGCTCCATTGTTGCAGACGATTTTCAAGACCGCTCTTCACATCGCTCAGTGCAGCGCTGAACTTATCGAAATCAGCATGCAAATTGGCCAGGTCTCTTGACATCGCCTCTTTGGAACGCGCCGGCAACAATTTGGCTTTCTCATTAATATGTGCGGACAGATTTTGTAGTTTAACTACACCTTCGGGTAAAGCATCTTGAATTTCACAAATCTTACTTAAACGCGCTTGTAAAGCCGGCTTGTTGCCAGAATAATCCGAATAGCCGGTCAAGCGATCCCACAGATTCTTTTGATAATCCTGTTGTGCCTTCTGCAATTCACTGAACTGTTGATAAACATCGAAAACTTCCTCGAGCTCACCAAGCAGTTTGGCGCAATCGCCCGCTACTTTCTCATATCGCTTGTTAATATCATCGACGGCATTCTTGATCTCGGCGGCATTTGCTGGCACTGTACCCTCTAACAGCACGGCAGCCTTTTCATTCACAGCTTCAATGATACGTTTATGCGAGTTAATATCCTGAGTGGTAGCTTTGTATTTGTACAATTTGGAGCGTATTTCCTGAGCGCTTGTCCAAGTACTGGGATTCTCGTTCTGCAGTACCTTTTCAATTTGATCCAACCAGTTGACGATCTGACCAAGTATATCATGATAGCTTGACAGCTGCACACTTTGTGCTTCCTGACGTTTCTGCAGATTGCGTATGCCTTCGTCCAATTTATCCCAACGCTCGTGTATGTCACGCAGATCTTTACGTATCTTCTCACGACCCTCAGTCGACGTTTCGGGCAATGCCTTTTCCCCGGCTGCATTTAAGGCGCTAAATAAGGTTTCAGCTTGTTCTTTTTCAGAGAGTAGAACTTGCAAAATGTTAGCAGCTTGTGAAGGCTCGTTTTTCAATGCATTCTCCAGCTGATGTTCGATTGGTTGGAGCCATAGATCAACTTCATTGTATTTGTCTTGATATATTTGATGGTCATCCACCAAATTTGACCAACGATTGACCACCTCCTTGCTCAACACTTGCAACAGTTGATAACGATTTGTGATCTGTATAGTTAGTGTCTTTAATCGTTCGGCGCCGCAATTATTCAACAACGCATGTGCTGCATCAGCAAAAGCATCAATTTCCTTCTCCTTTTGCAAAATGAGGTCCCTTTGTATTTTATACTTCTCGAATTGTTCGACCTTCTCATGCAGCGTTGATTTCAAYTGTTGTTCACGGAAGACGCCTTCGGCTTGGCGACACCACTTTGTCAATTCTTCAAGTTTACTCTCGAAATCATTCCATTGTTGCAGCACATCTCGCTGCTTACCTTCGATGCCTTCGATATCATCGAAATGACTCTTTATGGTTGTTTCGAGTTCATCGATTTCTTTCGCTAAGATCTCATTACCCTTTTCTGAAGTGTTAGCCTTAACCTTATCGAACTGCTGACGTATATCATCAACTATCTTTTGTGCTTGTGGCTTGTTCTGTGCCAACTGCACCAAGGTCTCAATCTTACGTTTAATGTCAGCCTTTTCGCCATATGCATCGTCACATTCCAACAGCTTCTCCTTCTCGCCAGATATCCAAGCCTTAGCGGCTGTCACTTGGTTGTTTAACTCGGTGTGCTCTTGCACGCATTTCTCCAAATTGTTTAGAATTACTTCTGATTTTTCCACAATACCATTAAAAATTTGTTTAAGGGATTGTAGATATACATTTAGTGTATTGTCATTGATTTGATCAATCAAGACCTGCGCTTTGTCACACACACTATCCACCAGCACATTGTGTGTGGTGATTTCCTGGTGGAGTAACTTGTGGTTCTGGAGTTGCGCGCGCTTTTCTTGTAGTGTGGTCTTTGSCTCGGTGTGGCTTTGCATTGCCTTATCCACATCCTTAAGCCACTTGGCTAATTGGTCTCTGGCAATATTGAAGTCGTTGAACTGTTGCAGACATTGATCGATCTTTTGTGTGGCCGCATTCAAATCATCAGAGTAGTTGTCCCACATGGTACGCAGCGTACGTAATTGCTGGCGTATGATCTCTCGACCATCGGGGCTTGTATGTCCATAGAGTTTTTCGCCACGATCCACCAAGCTCTCAAATGCGGTAGAGTCGTTTATACGCTTGTCCGCCATCTCACGCAATTTGTTTTGACGATCTTGCAACACATTTTGGTCACCAACAATCTCACTATTTTGYACCAATTCTTCAACACACTGTTGTAGATCCTTTTTGAAAACCTCATAATCACTATCAAATGTTTCGTGATCTTTTGCGTAGTTGACATACTTCGAAATAGATTCCTTGCAGAGATTCTTCAAGGTTTGATAGCGTGTATTCAAGCGCGATAATTTAAGATTCAAATCGGTCTCACCTTCAATTTCACGACCCTGATCGAGCAGATCATTAATAGACGTTGCACGTTGTTCGATGTCTTTGGCKATGTTTTGTAATTGTGCCAAATGTGCTTTTTTCGTGCTGGCCGTATTTTTCAGACTCTGGTTCTTCACAACATTCTCAACATCCTTCATCCAGTTATCGATCTCATCGATAATAGACTCAAACTCATCCCATTTAGAACACAGCTGCTTCAACTTGACGAGTGAATCTTGACAGAGAGTCATGAAGTCTACCCACGCTTTCTTGGGCTCTTCAAAGCTGCGCAGCAAAGCAGGATGACCACTGGGATGTGTTTGTGTTAGCACTGTTTGTAATAGCTGTTGGCATGTATCGAATATGGAGTCACCTTCGGGCTTATGTTGCAATAGATTTTCAACAACAGTCAACTTCTCTTCTGCGCCTTCCTTTTCGAAAGTTGTTTCATTCAAAATGTCAATGGCTTCAGATTTGATGGTATTAAGCCAATCTTGTGCTTTCTCCAATACTTGATCGTATGCCTCATGTTTAACAACTTGGTTACCAACCACATTGATCCGGTCGGCGATCTTCTTCGACAAACCATTATACTCTTCAATAGACTCTTCGGTCTTGCGTTCGGATTCATCATCGCATAGTGTCACAGCCTTGTCATGTAACTGTTTGAGTGCATTCTTATGCAAAGTAATCTCTTGCAATTGTGTCTTGTAATTCTGCAGAGCACTCTTCTTAGCCGCCAATGTGGGATACAGCTCATCAGCGGCAGCCACCTTGGCTTTCGATTCATTAAGGTAGTGTGATACTTGTGTGTAACTCTCTTCAATGGATGTCTTCTGTATCAATACTGCCTCCACCTGTTGCAAAAGCGCATTAGCCTCGTCACGCAAATAGTCATAGTTCTCGCGTTCATTACGTAATTCCGCACGTATCTTTTCGCGATACTCCGGTGTTACTATGGGATACAATGCTTCGCCAATATCCACAGCATTATTCAATAGAATTTGTCCATTATCGAAGGTCTGCAAATAATTTTTAATTGTACGTAATTGCTGTGCGGTGGCTGAAGACGAGCCGGGCGAACCCATACGAGCCAATTCCTGGAATTCAATCTTGGCATCAGATAACCAGTCATTGAACTCTTTAGTGGCAGTTACGAAATTGTTGTTTGCATGTTGTGCATTATGCACTTTGTCGACGTAGCCGGCCAAGCTCTTCGCCACAGTCTGGTAGCGCTGCAACAAATGCGTGACAAACTGACTAATGCGCGCTTCAGGATTCTTCTCCATCAGCAACTGCGAAGTCTTCTCCAAATTCTTCACAAGCGGCTCATGTGCCGCAATATCCTGTTGTAACAAAGCAAGTTCTTGCAACTTCTTCTCGATTTCAGGCACATTGACTTGATTGCTAGTCTCGGCCTTGATACGTCCCTCAACGTCACGCAACCAGGCGGAGAGCTCTTCATTGGATTGCTCATATTGCGACCATAAATCTACGTTTTCATCGAGCACATTTTTGATTTTATCGAAACTGTCTTGCAGTGCTTTCATTTCACCGTTCAATAATTGCGCGTCCTTTTGTAGGTCTTTCAGGTTTTGTGGCGATTCCACAGCTGTTAGTAGCTCCAGAGATTTTCCAATATCGGCATTGCGCTTGTGGCAATCATCAATCGCTTTGCTCACCTCTAGGAGTGAAGAGCGCTTCACATCCAAATTGTATTTGTCGCTTGTCGATTCTGGCTGGCACCATGCGACCTTCTCGCGTTGGGTAGCAATTATACGTTTAAGCATGCTCACTTTGTCGGCATGGAATTTCTTAAGGAATTGCAAAAGTGATGACTCGATCTTCTTGGCATGTGTATCGACAGCCTCGAAGCGCTTTTGTACATTGTTCAGCTCTTTGGGTATGATAGACTCGCTGAAAGTGGGATATTGCGAACGCATCTCATCAACTCGTTGCTTGATGTTGTCAATTTCATTCGCACTATTGTCTAACTCGGCGCGCAATTCCCGGCACTTAAGTAATCGTTCCATAATTTTGTTCGGCTCACCGGACATGTCATCGCATTTGATTAACTGTTCACGCAATTTGTTCACTTGTTCGCCGGCATTCTTGATACGCTTGCGCAAATCTTGTTCTTGCTCGTTAAAGGTAGAGGTTACAGCTTCCAAACGTGCCGCATTCGAATCGACCTCTTGGAACTGTGCAGTCAGTAGCTTATTCAATTCGGTAAGGGATGGAATCTCCACACCATTRTTAATGTTCACAAGCTCACGACTCTTCTCCGCAATGGTGTCTTTTAATACTTGATAAGAAGGCAGTTCCGCGTGGAATTTAGTTAGACGCATTGGTCCGAACTCGATTTCGATTGAGTTGTCAGCAGCATCGCATAAACCTTGATTGGTTTCACTCAACCATGGTAAAAGTTCTTTCTTAGCATCTTCAATCTGAGACCAAATAACAGCTTCCGTTTCGTAAATATGTGCATTCTTTGCAGTCTTATCGTGTAGATCTTGCCATTGCTGTTTGGCTATCTTCACATCATTGCCTATTTCTTGTGGTACAACCTCACCAATTGCATCGAATAGCTTCGCCACATTATTGCCGCGACGCTCTAAATCATCGAGATTCGTCTTGGATTTACGTATTTGTTCCATAGTCTTGCGTGTTTTTTCGGCGGCATGTTGCAATTCCACTTCATCGCGTGGTTGCTGTGGTATAGCGTTGAAGAGATCTTCGGCCTTCTTCAGCTCTTTTGCGAACTTATCCTTGGTATCGGCGTATTCGCGTAGCGCTTGACTAATCAAGTTATACTTTTGTATGCGTTCGGCAATTTCATTCTGTAGCGTGTCATAATCTTTGTCGAAGAACAGAAGACTTTCTTGAATGACTGGCATACTGGCGATATCTTCACGCATCAGTATGGAACCTTCATCATGTAGACGATTCTTCATGTCTGCTTGTCCTTTAATGACTTCGTTAAGAGCAACTAAATCGGCGATTATTTGGTCAATGTTATCCAAACCGGGCTTCCGTTGAAGAATGCTGTTTAATTTAGCACGATTGTCCAACAACGCTTGTCCGAAATTTTGYCCGAGAGTTTGGAATTTCTCTTTGCGTACATTCATCTGTTCAGCCTGTTGCTTTTGTGCTTGAGAACGCAGCTTAAGGTTATCTAATTTGTTTTCGATATCATTAACAATCTGTGAGGCAATCAATGGTTTACGTGTCAAAGCGTCGCGCAACTGAATAGCGGGACTTTCATCGATATCCTTGGCTTGTGCTTTCCAATAACTTATTGAGCTACCAATTGTGTCGATTTCATTGATAATCTTATTAAGCTCCTCGGCCTGGGGACCATCAGGTTTCTCTAGCTGATGTTTCAAATAATTCAAATGACTTTCGGTTTCATTCTTCCAGCCCAGAATCTCTGTCCACTTTTCGAGCGCAATCTTTTTCTGCTGCAAGTTGGTTTCGAGATTCTGATAGTTAACAACTAAACCGGTGTAGGAATCATTCAGAGATTTGGCTTCTTCAGCCGGTGCTGAGAGTGACAGCTGTTTCACTTCATCATAAATGGCATTGAAACTAGGTTTCTTGTCGGCGTGCTCTTGCATCAGTGCATGTATTACATGCAGACTGGTCTCAACGCGCTCTGGATTAATCTCCTCAACTTGTGCGACTTGACTACGCAGCTGATCCATCCAGTTGGAGAAGTTTACCATTTTGGCGTTGAAGTCTTGACGTGCAATAATTGCGTCCGAAACTTCGTTGATATTGGCCCGTGTGGCCTCGGAGAGCTTTTGCAGTTTAGCTTTCATGCCATTTACGCGATCTTTAAGCGCAACTGCGCCTTCTGGCGCCAAATGCAAGCTTATCTGATCKGCTGACTGACCGAGCGCAACGAGTTTCGCTTGTTGTTCAGAAATTTCATTGTTGAACGACTTGAGTTTAACAAGTTCCTTTTCAAGCTTATCGACGTGCGGCGTATTGAGCACAGCTGGGCGTTTGCCCATCACTTGTTCGCCTTTGTTGACCCAATCTTCGAGTTTGGCTGCATCGGCATCGAATGATTTCCAATTCGCGACCAATTTTTCCAGCTTACCACTGGCTTGCTTGGCATTTTCATGAACTGATGTCCAGCGAGAATGCATGGCATCTAACTCGTCAGGGGCATTGGTTTTGCACAGCATTTTATGACTAATGTTTGAAATGCCTTGGAGCCTGTCTAACTGCTCAAGGCATTGTGTTTCGAATTGTTTGGCATTTTGTTGCAATGCAACGGCTTCTTCAAGTGTAATGGGCTTAGGAACTATTGTATTTACCTTGATTTCACTTTCCTCAATAACTGGCTTGATTTGCTGCAAACCAGTTTGATACTGTTGCCAATTCACCAGGTCCTCTTTCACAGCCTTTGCTTGATGATCGACATTACGGTTGATAGCGCTCAGCACTTCTTGTAATTTGGTAATTTCACCCTTAAGACGTTTAGCCTCAGCAATGTTACCCTCTTTGGGCGCCAGTTCGGCAGCATCCGAAGCCAAAATATCCAATTGCTTCATACGTTCGCCAAGTACRCCCTTAAATGCRTTCACCTTCACTACGCGCTCTTCTGGTGTGAGATCTTCCGACTKTAATGCCTCAATGCTCTTCGGTGCTACACGGTTTGCCCATTCTTGCAACTCAGACAAACGGGACTTGTAATTATTCCACTTGGCACTATAGTCTTCCAGATAACCAACGCGATCTTTCACATGTTCCATGGTATTGAAGAACATCTTCTCAACCTCGGTTACCTCCTTCTCCAATATTGGACGCTTATCAGCTGCAGCCAAAGGCGCCAATTCGGCTTTCAAGGAGTGCAATTTGGGCAGTAGTTGATGGGAGGCTTGCTGCAATTGTAAGTTCAGCTCACGCTTGGCATGCAAATCTTGGCTAACATTCTTTGGATCGGTCTGCAATGGCGTCAACGCACGCAACTCTGTCTCAGCTGTCTGCAGCATYGAAAAGATGTCRTTCTTCTGATCGACAAAGTCATTCCACACAGCTTGTGTACCCTTGAGTGATTGTAGCTTGTCAGCGGTTTCGGTGTACGCCTCATTCCAGCCGGTCTCCAAGTTCTTCACTTCTACATTAACGAAAGATGGTGCATGCACGTCTTTACTTAAATCACGTCCACGCTGTAGCATTGACATGATGTGTGGACGTTGATGATCAAGCTGGCTAATGGCATACTGTTGCTCTTCAATCAGCTTGTTGACACGTTCAAGACTCTCTGGTGGTGGTATATTGGTGGCTTGCTCCTTCACTTTGCTAAGCAGACAGATAACCTCGTGTACCTCCCGACGATACGTGAAGCACTTGGAGAACACCTCGGTCTTTACCATTGTTATTTCGATGGTCGGTATGAGGTTCTTGTAGCGAGCAATTAGATCTTCGAGTTTCTTCTGTTCGAAATTGGCCTCATCTTCGCTGGCGTAGCTAAGTAAGGAGTCTAGCGTTTTCACCAGCCATTTCATGTCCTCCCTTTTGTTATCTGCTTCTTGACAGATTTTCTGAAAACAAATCCGTTGAAAAATTAATGAAGTTTCTTAAAAGAAATTAGAGCAAATGACACAAGACTTTTAAAAATGGTTATAAGTTTTACCACAAGTTCCCTGAGCTGCGTTAATGGATTTACAATGAAAATTGTATTAGTATAATGAGACACAATATGTTAGAGTTTCGTATATTAAAAGGATATGTTGTGGATTTCGAAGCGCAAAATAGTTTTTGTACAGTTATGTTACAAATCGCTTATAAGTCCACAAACATCTTGTTAAACAAACAATTGCTAAGTCTTTACCTGGAAGACCACCTTCTCCTTCTCGAACTCTTCCATGCTGTTCACTTCGTTGACAATGTTCTTCAAGCTCTTATCGACAATATTCATCCATTCAACCATTTCTTTGAACTTCTCATGGTAGCTGTCCCACTGAGCCGGTATTTGCTGCAATGTCTCACGCATATCACCGATTTTACCAGACAATTGCTGCCACTGTAACCTGGCATTGTCGTAGGCCTGATTTAGACTAATATCGGTCGGTTTTTGGTAGCCATATGCTTGACTGATGCGTTGCATGTTYTGCAAGCTCTTCTCAATGCGCGGTATGGGTCCTTGTTGTTGGAAGAAGTGCTCATTACGATTCAGTATTGAGTCAATATCTTCGTTGCGATTCAAAGCTTGTTGTTCCAGGTGCAATTCTTTTTCGACTTCCTGCAATGTCTGGTAGAAAGCCGACTCATCCAGACGGAACTCGAGTTTCAGCAAATGCAAYGGTGCTTGCGACAGCACCTGTTGCCACTTGTTTTGTAATTTCTCAACTGAGTCCACCACAGGCTTTTGTTCTTGTGCTGGCAATGTTTTAAGCAAATCTTGTGCAGACTCTACCAGATTGTGCATCCAACGCTCATTAACATTTTCGAAGAAATACTTCTGAGTCTCGATTATTGTCTTCGACTCAATGTGTTTCTCAATAAGCATAGATTCTGCCTGCGTCAGCCACTCACTGACGACACGTTCGTTCTCCTTGAAAGCATGCCAGCCGCGTGAGGCGTCATTCAAGCGCTGCTCCCACTGCTCRGCATTCCGTATGACGTAATTAAAGCGCTCGTTCAATTGCTGCATGTTATGTGCTGTCTGTGAGGTGTCAATATTTTCATCAGCGGCGACAGATTTAAGCAGGTTCTGGAAAACCTTATTCTTGCTCTCCAGCATGGAACGATAGTAGACAGTGCGCGAGAAGAAAGTCTTATGCTTATTTAGTTCCTCGCTGATAGCATCGCGTCCACCAGACAACGCATGTGTGCTCAACAAGGTCTCAGCGTCATTGAGCCATTGATGTATTTCTTTCTGGCCCGCTTCGAGTGACTCCTGTTGTATGAGCAGCTGATGGAAGAGGTGCAGTTTGGCGGGTATTTGTGCGCGTATACGCACTAAAGACTCCTTCTCCTGTTTCAGTAACTTCATCATTTTATCAACTTCCTCGCGTGGTAGATCTTGTATGAGACCCTGGAAGTTGCGGCTGACTGTCTTGAAGAGCTCCTCATTATCATCAATCTCGCTGGCTAACTTTTGCAAGTCCTCACCATATTTGGTAATTTGCTGCGTGTTGCCGAGCATTTGACGCTGTCCCAACACTTGTTCAGCATGACGCAGCCACTGCGARAGCTTCTCAATGCCGGACTTGTATTCATTGCGTGCACGTATAATATCACCAGCGTGCATGTATTGTTTGGTGTTGGCGAAGAGACGCTCAAAGCGTTCCGACAAATTGCCATGTTTCTGGCGTARATTATTGGCAATGCCATCTTCGCAGGAGGCAACCAAATAGTTGGCTGCATTGGCAAGTGCATCGAATTTGTCCTTCCAAGTGGTAATATCCTGGAAAAATTCTAAACGTTCATCTTCGGAACGTGACAATTTAGTTTCGGCCAAGTTCAGCCACTCTTCACAAGTCGGGGCTAGCTGATTCCATGTTTTCCAACAGCTTACAACCTCTTCCAGCGAATTTTGACAACATTTCAGTTCCATGGAGACACGTTTCCAACGCTCTTCAGTCTCATACATGAAACGATCGATTTCTGTTATATCATTGCGCGGCACATTGCCATCGCGCTTGTATTCGTCCACCACTTGTTGCATATCGACGAATGCCTTCTGGAACTCTTGAAAGATTTTGTTGCGCGACACGAAATTCTTATATTGTTCTAGTTGTTGACTGACCTTCTCCTCGTAACCATATTTGCCGGTCCAACCCTTCATCTTGTTCTCAACCAAATTGAGGAAAGCAATTAGACAGCACTTGTGTTCGAGGAATTTCAGGCGTATTCTACGCTCAGCCGCTCTCGGTGCCACGTCTTGCAGACGACGTTCCATATTGCGCAACTGTTCAATGGGCACTTGCTGCACCAACGGTGAACGTTTGGCATTATCGAACATCGCCAGAATACGTGGCAAATCGGCGAAGAATAATTTATGCTCCTCCAGCTTTCTACTAATCACCGATGCTGTCTCCTCATTCATGGCGTTCGGTATCTCGTTATCCATTAGTAATTTTTCGGCTTCAGATAACCACTTGCCGACCACACCAAATTCGCCGGGCAATTCCGAATCCAATAACCACAGCCAATAATTCATTTGATATTGTAAACGTTGCCACAGCGCATTTATGTCTTCCCAAACGGGACGCGGAACTTGTAGGAAACCACTTTGGCTATCCATCAACTGCTTCAGACGATTGTAGACCGGCAAGTGGGCGTCGATCTCTGAACGTGCAATCAGATATTCAGCGAAATCACGCGGGAATGAATTCGACATGACCATGGGCTCGTATTCGGTAGTCTTTTCCACCAGGAAGCGACGTAGTTCGTCCAACTCCTGCTGTATATGTGATGTATCACGTGAGGCACCCTGCGAGTAGAGAAAAATGTTAAAAACTCTGGTAGGGACACTTTCTCGTCAAATGCAAATAACGACTCACTTTTGGTTCAGGGTACTTGTGCAAAAATTGCGCCACATATGTCATTATACTCTTTTCATCCGGCTTGGGTACATCCACATCCTCAGCGTCCAACAATTTGGCAATGCCGAGTTTGCTTTCGGCCACATCGAAAGCAGTTTCCAGACGTTGACGATTGTTGGCCTTCTTCAAATCAGCCAAATTTACAAGATTCGCCTTAATGGCATCAATCAGGGCTAGGAAGGCGACACCATCTCTCCAACTGGCACCGAAATCCTTTACCTCAATACCGCTGTCTCTGCAGCAGGMAAGGAAAATGTTTGAAGATTAGAAAAATATATTCATGTGTTTGTCAGGGGTTTACAACTTACTTTGGCAAGGCATTGGTAACCCAATTTAATAGAGTCTTCCTAGCACCTTGCTTCCATTTCTCAGCCTTTTGATCGCTAGCATTCTTGCCAACGCTGTCCAGAGAACTAACCGAACCRCTGATACCATGACCCAAATATTCAAGGTTGCGGCTGTTCTCCTCAATCTGTGGCGGACGGGTGGAAGGAAAGGTAAAAATGAAGTACAAATAATTTACCAAGAAATTGTTATAAATGAGTAAAAAGTATAAATCTAAAAGCATTAAAAGTCTTCGTAACGATAATAATTCTTAAAATACTCAAAAAAAAATTTTTTTTTCAAAAATTTCGAAATTGAGCGAATGTTAATTAACAGTTTTGAAGCCAAAATATGCTTGCACATATTTTTTCCCCCTTTTCCTCCACAAATGAAATACTCGACATACATATAATATTCTTTAAAAACTAATAATAATAAAACATTTTCGAAAATTTCGAAAATTTTATAAAATTAAGCTAAAAGTTTTGTACACAAAAATATGCTTGTAAAAGTATTTTTTGTTATTTTCTACAACAAASCGAAATATTCAGAACTATTATTCTCAAAAAACTAATAATAAAAAAAAGAAGTTTCAAGAATTTTCGAAAACTTCGAATATTTCGAAAATGCTATAAAATGAAGCTAAAGTGAAGTTAAAAGCTATGAAGCCAAAAAACTCGCGTGAATATCAAACCAAAAAATTCAAAATTGGATTTTAAAAATATTCATATAAACTAAAAATATTTTAGCATATTCGAATATTTCGCAAATATTGTAAAGTTAAGTTCAGGCAAAAGTTTTGAACCCATAAATATGCTAGTGAAAATCCTGTTTTGTTAACTTTTTACCACTAATTAAAAAATTCAAAAGTGGTTTTCAAAAATACAAGAACTTCAAATCATAATTGCGTGTGTAGCATGGGCAATATTTATGCTTCAACCGCAGTTAAAAAAAAGCAAATATATAAATTCATTCATCTACTACTACTTTTCGTTATGTCATTACAACAACCAACGGCTACAAACCTACCTGTGGCGCATAATTTATTACTACTACTAATTTTTTCCGCCTCTTCTTATGAAGCTTTTTTGTTAGCAAAAAATAATTGCGAATAAAACAAATCGTTCGAAACGAAAACGATTTTCAAAAAAGAGACAAAAAGATAGAAAGGAAAGAAGTACACACAATTGTTTACACGGTTATTACTTTTGTAATTTGTTGCTTTACATAAATACATAAATGTTAAAATTGGTGAAAGTATCAATAATTAAAGTGCGGTTTTTTACCGTTATGCAAAGGTTAAGGGAAAGGTAGTGTTAAGAAAGTGTTCAAATTCACAGCTAACGCAAACTAATTGAGCTAATAGATAAGTGGTAGCGGATTCAAGTTTATGACCCCTCGATTTTTTGCGTAACGTGCTTGCCTATGGCTATTTATCAAAATAAAACAATTGCTTTTGAAATCAACAAAAGCGGATTACATGATGATAGTAGTGGAAGGTACAGACGACAAAAAAGCCTGCTGTTGAGCGGAATAAGGACTGGAAGATGTGCAATTTCTCAAGGACCATTTTTCGCTATTATTCTACATACATTAGATTAGGTTAGGTTCGATGGCTGATCTTGATCGCTCTTTGAACACAATAAGCATTCCTTTGTGATGCCACAAAACTAGAATAATTTAATTTTATAAGTCAATATATATAAGTTGGGTTCGTTGGTTGAAAAGCGCCTTGTGCCAGACTTTAAATTTTATTCGGTGTGRCATCTGAAACTGTGAGCTTTCAGGTGTTTAAGCCTTGATTTCGCTAACAAGACATTCAAGAAGAAAGTGCTGAAATGATTGCACCTCGACTTCTTCTATACAAGTAAGATTCTTAACCTTACTGAATGAACGCCGAAGGAGCAATGGCCTGCTAAAACCCCCACAWAATATTTCATTGGATCGCTTACAATCGCTCTTAAGCCAAAATGCCATCATAGGCCACACATACTCTGCATTATRCCGAATCAACTTTTTCTGAAGCTGGGATCGTAAGGGTAGATGCCCTGTGATAACTCMTACAGYTTCATCCGATTGRAAGSGAATTGGCTTACCGAGGTCTTCTTGTGTTATGGCGTTGGACTTTTGGTTCCCAGTGAGTTCGGCATGCGCTGGTCAAGAACCAGAATTCGTGCAATTGCGAGATGCTTTTGGTCCAAAGTTAAAYGTAAAATATCTTCCAAACTACTGCGTCTTTGCAAATACAATCTTCCTGCAATTGCGGATGTTCTGTCTTGGCTCTGTTCAAAAGGTTTACACGCGGTGTGTCTAAATATTGCTTTTGACATTTTTTGTYAAGGCTGTATGGAGGAAAGCGAAGTGGAATCATTTTGTCATTTCCTTTTTTATTTACAGGCCTTTGCAGGACTAAAATTTAAATATCTCRTTAGAAAGATTTTTGTTAAACCTAACGAAACGACTGGGATTGATATTAACTGCCTTAAAAAATTTGTGTTAAACTCAAATCGCTTTGACGAATTATAAGGATGCGATAATCCACTATTGCAAGTTTCTGGGTAACGGACAAATATCCATCCAAGTAARTTCCACCGATTTTTGGATTAACTCTACGTTTTAACCTAACCTAATCTGGTAACTGTGAACTAGCCAGAGTAGACGCCATTCTACAATTAAACTCCGGAAAGTGTGGGGGGGAATTCATATGCTTATGCCGAGTCTGATTAGAATCAATACTTAACTTGCTCAACAAGCAAGCAAACGTATGTAGTATGAATGGAATATGGGTCGCACATGCCRACTATTAAAAAGAAATGGCATAAGAAGTCTGGTAGAGCTAACTGTTCCCTGTGTAATTGGCAGAACACCAATCAATGACTATTGTAGAWGCTGTTARATGGTAGAAAAATAGTGTAGTCCTCTATGCGCAAAGAATCACAGCTGTTTGTCGAGGGTCTGTTGACGATATATCGTCACAGATAAGAACTTTTGTATTGATGAACTTCAGAGCACTGATTAGTTTAGAGAGAACATAACAGAGTAATGAATTTTTAGTGCAGGTGGTTTTCAGAATTTCTTTATGACTAAATTTTCTGAAGATAAGCAACTAATATTTTAGTATACATGTGAAGAGTGCAAATATAGGGTGCCCTCAAAATCCACTAATATATACACTTGAAAGCTTAGTGTTAAAAAATATATTCTTCTTGTCTTTCTCCAATATATTTCTATATTTACATTTGTAGATTTATATTAAGTACAAATATATTTTTAGCGGAAATTTTTGACTTACCTGGAAGTACAATATGATGGTCCATATCAGACCCAACACAACTGGTGGTCTCCCATCCACCAAATCTGCCGGGTTGATATTCACCAATTTGATACGTTTACTAGCTAAGAATTGTAAGGCTGTATTGGCATTGCTGAGGAAATGCGGACGTCGTAGAACGCGGCCCTTTTCCACGGGCAAACGTTCGCCGGAAAGCACTTCCAAAAGTGCAATAAGTTTAGTACCGTCGCGTAAATCGTTGATTAAATCGTCAACACGAAGCGGTGGAACACGCTACAAAAAAGAAACAAACAGACAGGCGCAATTAAATTAAATGGTAAACAGAGAAACACTCTAATTGCTAAAAAGAAACATTACRATATAATTTACAGATGTATGTACATATGTATATRTGTGTTAGGGTGGGTCGAAAATGTTCATATTTTAAGAGGAATTATTGGGATATGTGTATGTATATTTTATTTAACGGGAGATCCAAGAAAAGGTACTTTTTTCAATAGCCTTTTTTGACAGATCACACAAGAGGCGAGAGGCAGTTCGCCGTTATGTCAGTTTTATTCAGTATTGTTTGGCATTTCATCGTGGAAAGACTTACGCCTGAACAAAGTTTCGAATCGTTCAACTTCATTGTGACAATTCACGTTCTGCAAAGAATGTGTTTCGCGCGCTTAGCACAACTTATCGTCAGCATAATTGGCCCACTGGGCGTACTATTCGGAACACCATCGCCTATCTGGAGACCCAGCAATCATTATTGGCTAATATTCAACGGAATAGACCAAGTCAGGCAAGCAATGAAGAAAATATGGCAGCCGTAGCCGGGAGTGTACACGAATACCGTAGAGAATCGATTCGACACTTATCGCAGCAACTCGGACTGACGTATAACTTGGCGAATATTACGTCGAGATTCTAAATAGAAAGCATACAAAGTATAGTTTGTGCAAGAAGAGAACCCGCTCCATCTTCCCAAGCGGCATCGCTTTGTTCTAGGAGCTCTTGAAAAGTCTCAAGAAGATCCGACTTTTTCGAGCCAATTTTGTTCAGCGATGAGGCCCACATCTGGATTAATGGGTGGAAGAGATTCAAGAGCTGTCATTTCATTCATAAAAAAAAACACGGTTTGACATTTCTTCAAAAATGACACCAGTGAGAACGTATCCGTCAATAACGACGTTATCGGCGACACTTGGTTTAGACAAGACGGCGCCACATCTCACTCATCACATCAATCAATGGATTTATTGAGAGAACACTTCGGTGAGCTGATAATTTCACATTTTGGACCKGTCGATTGGTCACCAAGWTCGTGTTATAACGCTGTTAGACTTTTTCCTGTGGGAATATGTAACGTCTAAAGTCTATGCGGGCATACGCTTCGATTCAGGTCTTGGAGCAAAACATCACATCAGTTACAAGTTGAAATGCTCGAACGAGTCATTGAAAGTTGAAYTCAACGAACGGRTCATCTGCGACGTAGCCGCGGCCAACGTTTGAAAGAGATAATCTTCAAAAAGTAAATTCCWAAGAATGTTCTTTCGAATGATAATAAACATTMCCCATTAAATTTGAAGTTGCTGTGTTTTTATTTTAAAAAGTGGGAACCTCAAAATGGACAGAAAACTGTAATGCTAAGGACCTTCCTGTTACAATTCATGGCTCATATTTGGAGTGACTTCCTTAGAGGTGCATAAGAATCTATTTTTCAGTATACCAAACGAACAAAAAAATATTTTTTTCTTACCAACCCTAATRTGTGTGCCTTTAATTGCTTAGTTTTCTGACTTAAGAAAGTTGGTTTGGGAAAAAGTTGAACCGACAACATTTAACGGCATTCTTTGCGCAACTCCATAAWGATAAAGCAATAAAAGAGATCACGTGACTTATGGGCATGAAAAGCATGACGTACCACATACATACAAACAACAGTTATGAGCGAATATACGAGTACTACAAAGTTGTTAGCCAAGTATGCAAATTGCATGACGGAAGAACAATTAGACATACTTCGCGCAAMATGCGAATGCATACTAAACGCTATAACGCCAAATACGCATTGCAATGCGTAGAGTGCAAACAAAGAGCGCACAAACTTTTGGCGAAGTTCGCTTAAGAAGTTGCTAATTGCAGGCGGAAGTGAGGGGCGTACAAATATGAGAAAATAAACACGCTTTTATGTATACACTATATATACATATGTATGGCATGMAAATATATTCTATAAATACATGCGCACACATAAATATATAGAATACTCCTGCAGTTTCGAGATAAAATCACCTAAATCGTGTAGCTTCTAAAAACGAATGCTTTCAAAATCAATAAACTTAACACACAATTATTTTCAAAACATAACAAAGCAACAACGATAATCCAAAATTAGGATTACAAAAGTTTTATAGTACCGGCATTCACCGAGATGGACTACATAAATCAACGGYAAGAGCGACAAAAACGACAAAAGCCATGGCAGTCGCTGGCGCGCCGTCGACGTGCTCACCTTGAACTCATCCATAAACAAACTGTAAAAAAGTAAAAATGGAAAAAATAAAACCAATATAGACGCGTTATTTTTTTTTTTTTTTTTTTTTTTGTGGTTTTTTAAAGTTCAAACAAATCACCGCACAACTGTCAAAGTATGTAAGCACTTTACAACAACAACACATAACCATGCACACACATATGTATGCTACTTACATATGTATGTATGTAGGTGTGCTAATGGGTGTGTATAATCAAAAAGCTTTTTGTAGCTCTGCTAATTTTTAATCAAATTTTTATAGTTTGTTTACCATTTTCGTAAAAACGAAGTGGCAGACGCGCCGGTCCGATCGGACGTGTTGAAAGAAATAAGTGTGTTTGCAGTTCACAATTAGTTTATTGTTATATCATTGCTTGCGTTTGTTGTTGTGGTCAACTAAATTTTGCTATTGAATTTGTTTAGTGTACATACATATATATATATACATATATATTATGTACAAACATAAACAATTTGCATTTGAAATTTGAGTAGAGTAAATTTATTTGATTAGCAAATTTAGTCACTTAATATATGTATGYATTATACATATGTCTATTTGTATAAGTTAATTTGCAAATATTATGGGCAAATAGAAACCAAGACCCCTGTAGGCAATTTTTGAGATCGGGATTGTGACAGAAGAATGTGTTTCGCGCGTTTCATCCAACTTGTGGTCAATACAATCGTGAGATCTAGCATTGGTTGTTGAATAATATTCCACCGGAAAGACCAACTCCAGCACGCAGTGCAGAATGAGAGGGTAAACAAAGATCTTAGCGAGTCGAATCGGCACCATTTTTTGTCTAAAATAATAACCTCAAAATGAACCATCCTTTATTAAGAAAATCTGTGGCAAATTTATGTTACATTTCAAGCTTTATTTTAAAATTAAATATAAATAAATAAGTAATTTTTAGAAATACTGCTGAGTTAAAAATCTTTGAAATGATAACCAGAAGTTTTAAATGAGGACAACCTCACTGTTCTCTGTTCAAGAATGAATCTCAATCACTTATCCCGGCTCTCAGAAARAGTTCTTTATATGTATACAAGTGTAGTATGAAGAAATGCTTCCGGCGAGTCGACTAATGATTTAAGGCCATTGGATCCAACCTCGGCTTTCAATGGCATCATAATCAACCTTATTAATGAACTCGGGCTAAGTTGGCAATGCCACCGAAAAATAAAGAACCTCTTGGAATTAAACACTRTTATGTGATTGACAATACCGACGGATCAAAGAGTGAAATAAGCATGGGAACTAGCTTCAAGCTTCAGCTTTAATTCATACAAAGACGGTAACTTCAAACTAAGTGACTACAATTCAGTCTTTCAGGCTCAAATATAGAATATGCATAATAGAAGGTTCTGATCTAACCAGCAATCCCATAAATGGTCTAGTGGATATCCAAGCGGCAATTAGGACTATCCGTGACGCTTACTAAGCCTCATTGCGTTAGATTATGCCAGCATGCAATAATTAGACTGAGTTGGTAACTCAATAACTAGATTCTACGTAGATAAACCTCAGTCATACAATACTTGTATTGGAATAGAAATGTGTCAATGAAATGGCAGACAAATTGGCCTGCTCGGGCAACTGGGAATAAAATTCCACTAAGTTGCTGAGCTCCTTCAAGGGCTGTTTGAACCTAGGGACTCTGGAGAAACACCTCAGGGCTAGGAACACAAGCAACAAAGGGAATCCCACAAAGTTCTTTGGGGTTGGTTGTTGGACCACAGAGCTAAAAGCTCTTACTTCTAACCTTAATATCCTACCTATAGAAAATAGGAAAAGTAGTTGAACATTGTCTATGCAAATGCCCATCCTTCAGGGATTTTTGGAGAAAAAAATTTGGTTTTTTACCAATTCCACATAGTTGCTGGATAAAGCTTGATCTGGTTACCACACCGGCCCTAACAATAGGCCTAATGATGACGTAAAGCCGGCCTTCTKTGATCTAGTATAATTTAAATTTATAATATACAACTCTCATTCGTTTTACGAAGCACTGAGCTTTGTGTTAAAAATATTTTTAATACAAATTTTGTAAAAACTTTATTAATTTTCTATTTCTAAAGCTAAAATATTGATTTCTCTTTATTTCTGTCATTACTAAAATGCCAAGCAAAAACCTTACCGTTGCTAAGATATAAGTAATTTGCATATAAAACACKTTCATATTAATTGATATCGCTACAGGGTCAATGATACATGTATATGCCACTTGATAAATTTTATTTATACTAAAATTTTTCGAATGCGTTTATATGACTGTAGRTTCAACTACGTCAGTCATATGACCTTAATTTAGAGATACTCGTATATACACGGTTGCCATGCGGAAAATGTCATGTATTTGCTTTTAATTTTATTGAGAAAAAAGGTGTATAAAAACCAAATAGTTAGAAATTACTTAAATTTTTTTWAATAATATTATATATTGGTGCTGTAAAGTAAATTTGTATTCAATTTTTTTTCCCAAAAAAATCAAAATTTACTGTTTTTATTGGTAAAAATATATCTAGAAATATTTTTTATGAAAGTATGCTGTGGTGCAAAGTATGCTGTGGTGCAAACTTACATTATCATATCTATTCAAAACTATTTTAAATGTAATTATTTGAAAAAAAAAATGTAATAAAGGATTTGAAAAACTTTTGCTGAAAAAAATTAAATAAATTCCCCAATTCCCCTCGTTCCATTCATATTATCGCTAGGTAAAAATAATACAAAAAAGTTTAAAAT